AGCAGAGTGGCCTCCCCGCCATGTGAGGCCGGTTTCTGGGGGGCGGGGGCGGGCGACGGTGCCCGGGTTGCTGGGGCCCCTGGTACGCAGGGGCCTGTGGGACACTGGAGGTGGGTCTGGGGGGGGGGCGCTCCGTGGGGGGTTGGGAGGCTCCAGGGAGCGGTGCCGTGGTACCAGGAACCTGCGAGATACGGGCCGGCTGCGTTCAGGGAGCCTGGCTGTTCTCATGTGGGCTGGGCCCTTTTACACGTGTCTGGGAGAGGGGGCTTATGTAAGGCTGGCGCCCTCTTATGCAAGGGCCTGTGACACATGCAGCGTCTGGGGCTCTTAGGCCTCTGAGTTGTGCTCAGTTGCTCCTACCCTTCACTGGAACTCGCCACCGGGGCGTTGCAACATTAACACACATGCCTTGGAGAGAGATGTCATTCTTTCTGTTTTACAGGTGGTGAGGCACGAAGCAGGGAAGGGGTGTTGCCAAAGTTCTAAATCTATTTAATAAAAGCCTGACCCGTGTTCCCTGTAAGCTGCTCTCTTGTGGAGCCATTTAGGAGCGATTCAAATGCCACCCAGCTGATTAGCAGAGCGCTCACCTCTGGATTTTGTTTCTAGTGGTTGCTGCACATAAAATTATTCTGCACGTGGGAAAAATCCACTCATGGATGGAAAAGTTTAGAGGGATAATTTGATCCTGACATGCTCCTAGACTTTAAGGTCAGAAAGGACCATAATGATCATTTAGTCTGGCCTGCACATTGCATATCACAAGAACCTCACCCACCCACTCCTATATTAGATCCCTAAACTCTGGCTGAGTTCTTGAAGTCTTCAGGTCAGCTGTGTCTAGACTGGCAAGTTTTTTCGCAAAATCATCTGCTTTTGCGGAAAAACTTGCCAGCTGTCTACACTGGCCGCTTGAATTTCCGCAAGAACACTGACGATCTCATGTAAGATCGTCAGTGTGCTTGTGGAAATACTATGCTGCTCCCGTTCGGGCAAAAGCCCTCTTGCACAAATCATTTGCGCAAGATGGCCAGTGTAGACAGCACAGTATTGTTTTGCGCAAAAAAGCCCCAACGGCTAAAATGGCGATCGAGGCCTTTTTTGTGCAAAAGCGTGTCTGGATTGGCTTTTGCGGAAAAGCGTCCATGCCAATCTAGATGCTCTTTTCCGAAAATGTTTTTAACGGAAAACTTTTCCGCTAAAAGCATTTCCGGAAAATCATGCCAGTGTAGACGTAGCCGTCATGATTTAATCTTTTCAGGTTACAGATAATCCACCATTTACACTATCTTAAATCTGCACATGGACTGTGAAGACAACACAAAACAAAACAGGGTCTCCCAATCTGACCCGAGAGGAAATTCCATCCAGACCTCAAGTATAGCAGTCAGTTACATGGCAGTCAGACAGACACTGAACATGTGGGCAAGACCCAGCAGCCCAGGAAAGAATTATCCATAGTTACTCAGAGCCCTCTCTCATCTAGTGTCTCTCACCCACCATTTGAGTTATTTGCTGGTAACTGTTCTTCCTCTTCTCACTAGATCTGGCTAAATAGCATGGTCTGGACTGGGGATGCTGTACTTGCAAAGCACACCCCGCACTGGACTTTGGATAGAGAGAGAAACTTTGCTTATATTGAAGGGGAACAATTCTGGTTATATTGAATGCTTCACAGAGCAAGAAACATGATTTCACTTAGAAACTATTTCTTTGCTACAGTTAGCACTTGTTTCTATATCCCAGATCTTTGTAGTCCAGTGTTTCTTAAACTTTTTAAGATGGAGGAACACAAAATAGTTTTTTTTTGTGAGGAACACCAAGGATTTTTTTGTTGAGCAACAACAACAACAAAAAGGCCAGGAAAAATAGGTTTGGGGAAAAGCTATTGAACAAAATAATAATAATAATAATAGGGTTGGAAGGCAGGGAAAGAAAATTCCTGTCCCTTTAAGGGTGGCCATTTTGAACTCTGTTGTTCTCCGCAGCACACCTGTGTGCCACAGAACACAATTTAAGAAACACTGTTATATTCTGTTTGCAGCTTTTCCTCACTTGCTACTAGGGCAAATATTGTTTGTTTAATGTTTTCTGGCCATGAATCCTCAATTACAGTTGATTTAGGTGTGTTTTACATTTCTCTCAAGGAGAGCAAGATTCTGGCTGCAGAATTTTTCTAGCAATGCATTTCTGTGGGTAACTGCTTTCTCATTCTTCCCACAAAGCAAGCAAACTGTAAGAAAGAAAATCTATGCATATTTAATGACTGTTGTCCACTGAACTGATACACTAGAATTTGCTGTCTAAGCCATATAGCATCGTATTACTGTGCAACTTACCTATGCTCCCAAGAACCTGCCCACAGTGGTGTAACTTTCAGCGGTGCTGAGCAGGGCAGCTCTTGTTAATTTAAATTATGGTTGTGAGTACTGAGCATCTTCAGAGATCAGGCCATTAACTGGAAAAGTATGGGTTGTTGGGGTTTTTTTTTTAAATAAAGGAGGCATAATATGGTTTCATATTTATCTCACAAAGGCCAACTCCAATTTGTTCCATAAATATTTACAGACTATATGGCAAGTAACCTTTTTTTCTCACTTCCTGCTGTATAATTGCCACATGGAATCCAGACATCAGAACCTAATCCTTTTGTTAAGAACGGCCATGCTGGGTCGGACCAAAGGTCCATCTAGCCCCGTGTCCTGTGTTCCGACAGTCGCCAATGCCAGGTGCCCCAGAGGGAACGAACAGAACAGGAAATCATCAACTGATCTACCCCGTTGCCCGTTTCCAGCTTCTGGAGAACAGAGGCTAGGGACACTATTCCTGCACATCTTGGCTACTTTTATGAATGTCCCTTTTTAAATGATAGAGTAATTGGTCATGATTCCAGAAAGTAAAAAAAAAAAAAACCACTGTAAGATATTGCAAAATATTAACATGAGTTCTACATTCTGATCTTGATGAGGATTCTTTCAAGTCAGGGATGGGCATTAATTTTTGCAGGGGAGCAACTTAATTAATTTTGATATGTGATCAAGGGCTGGCTCCAGGTCCCCCTGGAAGGGGCAGGTCCTCATGTGGAAGCGGTGGAGCTGGTGGTACAAACACAGAGAGAGAGAGAGAGAGAGAGAGTGTGTGTGTGTAAGAGAGGCACTCTGTGTGAGACTGACAGATTGAGTGTGTGTGAGTGACTGTAGCACAGACTCAGTGTTTGCTGGTTACTGCTGGGTAAGTTTGAGAGAAGCCACATGCTAAGACAGGGAAAGCTGTCCTGCTCTGTCTACCCCTTCCTGCAGAGAGAGGGAGAACTCTGAGAGTGCATGCACAATCACTCCTTCGAGTCACTTATCCATGCTTCAGATTGGAGCAGTTCCGCTGTATCTCTTTCCTCTCCCCGAGCCCTCCTCTGCAGAGAGTTGTGTACAGGGATGGGGTCACCCTGACTTCAGCTCTCCCCTCTTCTCTCCCACAGCTGATAGGAGAATCCTGGGAGTAGCTCTGCTGTTGGACAGAGCAAGATAGGGGGAGGAGCAGCTGAACACACTGTTGGCTGCAAGTATGGAGGCTCTGCTGATCAGCTGGGTGGGCAGGATCTAATCCCTAGGCCTGATTTTTGCCCACCCTTGCTCTAAGAGTAAGCACTGTGAACTTGGATTCAGGAGACTTCGGTTCTGTGAGCTATCCCATCCCCCTTTGTATGGTGGTGTAAGAAAAGGGATGGATATTAAAGATAATCTAACATCTCTTTTGTTTTACTCAGTCTCCTGCGATGGATTCTCTCTCTAAATCTGATGTTCTCAGCGTAATTGCAGGAGTCGCATGTGGAGTATGCCTGGGCTGGGGCATTCGTGGACGATTCTTTAAGCCATCCAAAGTCAAAATGCCAGTGCTTGCAAATGAGCTGGGGAATGAAGCCAGCATAATGGGAGAGTCTGGCGAATACAAGATGGTACTGATAGTTCGCAATGATTTAAAGATGGGAAAGGGTAAAGTAGCAGCACAGTGTTCTCATGCTGCAGTTTCTGCCTACAAGCAAGTTCAACGAAGAAATCCTGAGCTGCTTAAACAATGGGAGTATTGTGGACAGCCAAAAGTGGTTCTCAAAGCCCCAGATGAAGAGACTCTAGTTCAACTCCTTGTTGAAGCGAAAGAGCTGGGATTGACTGTGAGTATAATCCAAGATGCAGGTCGTACTCAGATAGCACCAGGTTCCCGGACTGTACTAGGTATCGGACCAGGACCAGCTGTTATAGTGGACAAAGTTTCTGGCCATCTCAAACTCTTCTAAGATGGAGAACAAGCCTGAGTTTTATTGGCGCAATTGTCTACTGCTGTACCATAGTAGTAATGGGAATAAAATCAAAGCTGTTTTCATTTCCATGGTTCTGTTTGAGTATAAATAAAAAGCATGTCTATCTTCATTAGACCTTTCCTTGCATTGTATGGTCACTTTGATTGGAAATCCTAGCAGTTCAAAATAAAAAACAATCACAAAAGCAGCAGCAGCCTAAAACTCTTTGAGGGAGAGGAACCAGTACTCAACCAGCCAGCCAGATGGCAGTTAGCAGCCTGAGACTTAAAACTGGGTCTTTGAGGAAAATGCAGAGGGGTGGTAAACCCTGGAACTGACACATATGTAACATTGTTTGATTGTATATCAGGTTGTAAAATTAAGCTATGTATATCAATCATTTCATCCATCTCTAGCCTGAAATACAGCAGTTGTTTAATAGCATGCAACAACACTCAAGGCAGGAAGGGAAGACTACAGTATCCAACGGAATTTGCAGGGAAAATGGCAGGTGGCTAAGATGTCACTACCCATGCTAAAAGAGCAAGTCTAACCCACACTACTCTTTGCAAGAGTGCCAAGCAATATTTGAAGGTTTTAACTCATTAGTAGCTTGACTTTGAGGTCAGTAACACAAACTGAACAAAGGTTCTGAGACCAATTCAGCTGTTTGTTTTCTATGCTGTGATGCTGCTGTCAGGTTCTCTTCCCACATCCACATGCAGGACAGCTGAAAAAAGTTCCAGTTTGCTTGTAGAATAGCATTGATTCAGGTAGGATGCCAATTGATATTTTTTTCAGTCCCATGTCTGTGCTGTATTTTAGCTTGCCCTGTGCCACCAGGACCAATTGCAAATTTGTTGTGAAACAATATCTGGAAAGTCTACAAGTAGAAAAATAGCTCCCTTAGTGCAGTTTAAGGCAGGCTCTTGGGGAAATGAAATAACAGCAGAGCTCTGAAACCGTAACTGTTACCACATTAGCAACTGTCTCTATATGAAACATTTATGCAATAAATCAACTGATGCAACATCATGTAATCAAGTGAGACTGATGCTCAGCTCCACCTGCAGAGTACTAGCCTTGCCTTTAAGGAACAGTAGTGAAAATCAACAGCTGGCCCTTGATGCAAGGTAGGAGCCCTGTTATTGCACTGCCCCCTGCTGGTTGGTTCATGTAACAATACTGTAATGGATAGGAAATTGGAACTGTGCTAACTAGTATCTTCTCTCCACCTTCCTGCACTATTCTTTGTATCAGTGCTAACCAGTAATTGACATGAAAATGAGGTGGATGTACCTTGCACCCCAATTCTCATTTGTTGAGAATTTTGACTGGTTTAATTCCTTTGGGTTTGTTTTTATCATGTTTAGGCTGGATTTAGCCAACTAGTCTGTGACTTTCTTGGTTTTGGATCAAGATAACAGGTTTAGCTCTTCATTTTAGTCAAGTTGTAGCAAGGGTAGAACACAGCCCCACCACCAAAAAATAATATATATACACACATTCTTCTGAATCTGTTCGGAAAAAGTGAGCATCTAGGGTGCAAGGGCTAGAGCAGTAACCTGGGCTAGAATTGATCATAGGTTTGAAGACAAGACTGGTCAATAGGAAAACTGCCCTTTAGTGATTTAATTAATTACTGAAAGTGACATCTCAGGGGGAAAGCATAGGTAATTGCTCAGCATTGCTTAAGTGGCTCTTGGGGGAAGCACAGCAGTGCTTTCTATAAATAAGATGAAAGGCAAGGGGAAAATGAGGCACAGAAAGGTGCAATGATTGGCCTAAACTCACCCAGTGAGCTGGGGCAGAGCTGAAAAAGGAGCTATTGTCTGAGTCCCCATCCAGTGTCATTCCCTGCAGCACTTCACAGAGGGGACCTTAGAAGGTTGCTCTGGATGAGAAAAATGCATGGTTCAAATTCAGTCTGGCCACCAAAGCTATCTGCTGTAGGTTTAGAGAAACCACTAAGCATCTTGCAGGTAGACTTTAGGGCTGATATGGAAAGGCTAAACCTAATGTCTGGCAAATACAGAACCTATGGGGGCACTGAACACATGGCTATATTGCAGGAGTAAATAGACTTGTGATTAGTTTGATTGAAACTTCAGAGCTATTTCCTTAAAATACCACCTCCATGTCCCTAAGTTAAGTGCTCAGTTATTACAATTGGGACCATAAGTAGTTAGAATAACTGGGATGCATTAACCAATCAGAGCACTGTGGTGTACTGACTAGGCCACATCTTAGGAGACCTGGGTTCTACTCCCAACTCAGTCAAGTGACTTCCCCTCAGCTTGAGTTTATTTGTAAGATGGGGAAAGCAACAGTGATTGAGATCTACCAATGAAGAGTGCTGTAAGAACTGTCATCTGAAATCCACTGCTTAATCATAGACTACTAGGACTGGAAGGGACCTCAAGAGGTCATCAAGTCCAGGCCCCTGCCCTCATAGCAGGACCAAGTACTGTCTAAACCATCCCTGATAGACATTTATCTAACCTCTTAAATATCTCCAGAGATGGAGATTCCACAACCTCCCTGGGCAATTTATTCCCATGTTTCACCACTGACAGGAAGTTTTTCATCATGTCCCACCTAAACCTCCTTTGCTGCAATTTAAGCCCATTGCTTCTTGTCCTGTCCTATCCTCAGAGGCCAGGAAGAACAATTTTTCTCCCTCTTCATGACACCCTTTTAGATATCTGAAAACTGCTAGTGTGTCCCCTCTGTCTTTTTTCCAAACTAAAGAAGCCCAGTTCTTAGTCTTCCTTTGTAGGTCATGTTTTCTAGCCCTTTAATCATTCTTGTTGCTCTTCTCTGTACCTTCTCTAATTTCTCCACATCTTTCTTGAAATGTGGTGCCCAGTACTGGACACAATACTCCAGTTGAGGCCTAATCAGCACAGAGTAGAGCAGAAGAATGACTTGTCTTGCTCACAACTCACCTAATGCATCCTAGAATCATGGTTACTTTTTTGCAACAGTGTCACTGTTGACTCATTGCCTAAAGGGAGATTCCCTGATGGCCATAGAAGCCTTCTCTAGTTAGATTAGCATAACTTGCTCGTACTTCCCTTAATATTGAAGGCAAAGGGATAGAACTTAACTCTACATATACTTTTAGAGTAACAATGACTAGTGTGAGTTGCTTAGTAGTTCATAGAATTAGTGTGCTTTAAGATTATAGGAACCAAGTTAACTTAGTAAGAGGCTGCTGTAATGTGCCTATCAAGACTGAACGCTACAACCGAAGAGGAAGAAAATATCCTGCTATCTGGGAGTCAGATTTGAGACCAAGTTTCAAATCCTATAAAAGTTGGAGAGGATACACTAAAGAAAAGGCCTCCCCATAGATCTAAACTGTTAAGTCAGAAAATGCACCCATGTTTGTGGAGTATATCAACTCTTCTAGTCTGTAGAGCACTCAGCTCTAAATCTTCAATTGAGTTATGGCTGAAGAGTAGATTGTGTGGCTACCAAGTTTAAGGAGCCTTGTTCAGATACATCTCAAGTCTGGTTCAGAAGGAACTTAAAGCTATGTGCCTACTCTAGAGGCAGGCATGGTTAAATTCTCTTTAACAGTGCTTCAGATCCTAGGACTTATTTCAGGTATCAAACCAGGACAACTCCCACACCCTGAAATGTAACTGACTCTACATCTATAGGAGAACATGCACAGCTTCTCAGAATCTGAACTTGTCAGTTGTAGCTATTAAAGGCTGAAAGCCAATAAGTTAACCAATATTTAACATGCCTCCTTGAATAGTTCAATTACCCAGCTACTCTGTCATCCCAGGTGGTGAGGCTGGCAGCCAGCATGCTCTGGCCCCACTTCTGAGGAGATCCCTGCCACTTGTGGCTGCTGCTGCCACCTCTGTTAGAGGCAGTAGTGTTGGGTGCCAGGTGGGAACTGGTCTGCAAGGGGGAGCCTGTTTAAAAACCAGCTCCCTATCACCCCACGCTGCTACCTGTTAGAGACAGCAGCACAGGGTGGCAGCAGCCCCTGCTGAGGGGCAGGGGCACACAGAGAAGGGTCTGAGCTCCCAGATCTGCTGCCAGTCAGAACTGAGGTGGGCTGCTTGCTCATCTGACTCCTAATAAACTTTAAATTGAGAGCTGGAGCAGGGATAGGTCCTGGACCTGGCCCAAACTGGGACTGAGCTTGGTTGCCAGCCAGCCTGCTAAAAAGTTTAGTGGGAGGAGGGAGAGAGAAATGTCTGTAGTCTATAGCATTACCCAGTAAGCAAGAGTGTATAGGTTAATTTAATTTACTGTATATTACAGGGATGTAATAGTGCAATCAACTTAGTTGATGGTGAAGTTTTGTAATATACAATCAACTTAGTTGATGGTGAAGTTTGCATAGCAATAAGTTAAACATGCTTTAAGAAACTGTAGGTGACGATTGAACTGTACCCGAAGTGGAGTGTGCAGAGGTTTCTCATGCGGGTACTGTACACCCATTCTTGCTAGATTGTCTGCCCTTCCTCTCTTCTAGCTAGTTCATCCTCTTTTATTGCAATCCAGAGGTTCAGATGCAATCTTGCTCACAATAGAAGACCTGCCTCCAAAGCTTGTACAATTATGAAAGTAACAACGCATATTCCTTTTGTACTAGTCTTCCATCAGGCAGCTACAAGAAGTATAACACTGTTGTAGGCCATGGTTATGAAGTATCTGTTGCCCAGTTACTACTGGCATTACTAAACCTAGCTAACTTTTCTCCTACTTCAAGTTTACAACTAAAATAAGCTGTATTCTGTTCCTGATAACCCCCATGCTAGAGTAGCACATGAGCATACCTGTTGGCAGCTCAAGTGCAAGTTTAATTAGCTTCTCATTTACCCAGTAATACATGGCACAAAACAGAGGAGAGACTTCCCCTACTAGTCATATGTTTACTTCAGTTGGCTTTAGGCTAAAACCAGTTATGCCAAAAATGGAAGTTTAGTCTTTCATGACTTGGTGTTCTCCATGATCACCTCGAGACAAGTCTGAAGGCC